TGCTATTTTTGCAAAACCTTGCAAAAACGGTTACATGGGTAGGGCAAGACGGCCAGCTTCTTCAATCGATCAGCACAGCTCGCAACAAATGCCCGAGATTAGCCGCATTGATACTGTCTCTCGTAAGTCTCAAGTGCTTCGGAAATGGCAGTAGGTATACGAGATTCGTGCAGAAGGCGTATGCTCGTATATAGGCCCTAGTTCAGAAGCCATGTAGAACCGTTTTTCACATTCATTATTCGAGAATAAACTGTGCCGAAGGAATAGGTATTGCTAACATGTCTGTGAGTATCGGAATCAAACATATTCGTATTAGAAATGCTTCTTTTTTCCTACAGCAACAAAAATATTTTCACTATTACGGACCCATTGGATTCATAGTTGCCCGTCTTACCTCAAACTCAATGTCAGAAATTGAGCACGATTTTCTCTGTGGACAATTTGATGCAGACAAAGCAAATCCGCGGTAGGTAAATGAACACTGGTGGCATATATGAGTGTACCACAAGTGTTTGCGAATTTTTAACTCTATACCTAGTGCTACACACAAAAGCTTGCATAACACATTATGTATGTTTTCAATGAAGTGAGTGTTTTAAAGAAATCAAAATAAAAGATTACCTATCGACTGAACACAAATTCACCAGACTTCAATGGTGGTGTGTGGTGGGAAAGGCAATTCTGGTCCTATTTTTTATCGCTCGTAGCGCTATTGGTTTGGTCTGCAGAACGGGTGCCCGTCTTACCTACCCTGACCGTCTTTCCCCTAGGTGTCAACCGCCTCTGACAGCGTCGTAACCTGTTACGAAGCCACCCAAACTACTTCGTTAACGTTCATATGGTTGCTAAATTCGAATTCAGCTCGAAAAACTGGCCTAGAAACATGTAAAACTCGAAAAAATGCACCGAGGTCACCAATGGTCAATGACCTGACCTGACCTTCAGGTGACCTTGAAACCCACCCTAATGCATGGGGGCAACATCATATCACATGTTTGAACGCTTGGAACCACGAAAAGACTGCAAACACGCTGCTAGTGCGAGCCGACATACGCCGAATCGCGATTCCGGCCAAACATGGTCTCGAAAAGTAGGTCAAAGCTCAAAGGTCATTTGAGTCAGGCAGGGTCATGAAATTTTCAGGGTAGGTTTAAACATGATGAACGCGAGGGTACTGAAAGTTTCGTCGCGATCGGCCGCTTTTTACGCGAGTTATTCGCGAAAAACCGAGTTGGTCCCCCTATACGGGTGAGGGATAAGTGAAGTTCATGCCGAATATCTTATCATGCCTGAAACGATCCATTGTGCGTTCCAAGCCGTTACATTGGCTGCAACTATGGTTTATAAATAGCATGCGGAACTAACGGTGGTGGTCTTGCGGCACAGCATGCAGCAGGCGCCGAGTGAAAGCCATCTGCTGAGAAAATTCGAAATCGAAACTACCGGGCCGTGCGGCACAGCATGCTGCAGGCGCCGCGCCTGAAAGCCATCTGTTGACAGAGATTAGAACTACTGAGGCATGAACCATCCCTGTGAAAGCTCCTCTGGCACTGAGGTCGTTGCGAAGTTGCGACATCTGAAGACCGTGCAGAGGTTCAACTATGATGTCATATGTCAGTGACCTGACCTGACCTGAAAATGTGGTTGGTGTCCAAAGATCTGGCTTGAATCAAAGGTCAGGTAGGTCTTTTAGGAAGCGTAATTGCGTACCTGTACGCTTCCTAAACCTACGTACTTGTAGGAAATTGATGGATGCTTATTGCTTATTAGCCCGGCAGTTGCTGGGGTATTTCACCACCCGCCTTTTGCTGGGGGGGGGGGGGGCGTTAAATGCCCCCAGCCGATAACTAGAGAACCAATATAGGCGCAGCGAAACGCACGAGGCGGCAAACGAAAGACCGCGACGAGACGCTTCAGATGAGTACCTTAAAGTTAATTTTGAGGTCACAGGTCGGGTCAATGTCAGGTCAAACACCTGAAATCGGGCTTTCAGTAACATATGTAGACTTCAGAACCTCGCAATGGGCGCCTCTCGTCATCAACTCTGTCAAAACGGTGCACAATCCTTCATATAAGGCCTACAAGAGTGTCAGATCCATGAATGTAGGGGTCAGTCAAACATAGGCCAGGGTCAAGGTCAGGTCAACCAGGTAGGCATGTATCCCCGAAAATCAAAACTGATATTCGCAGCCTGTGATACATGTTTTATGGGTATAATTTGTTGCGTATAGAACACGATGGTGACATTCATTTTATCATATGTGTACGTGCTTGGTTCAAAAAGTTCAATTTAAGAAATGTATGGCATGTATCATGGTCGTGAAGTAGTTACGAGAAATTGCCAAGACTCAGTTCAAGATTTTGGAAAATGCGGAACGACAATCAAAAATCGAAGATAACCATTTGATTGTTCATGGTATTGGCAGTCTAATGGCGTTTACGGCATGTCTGTATGTCAATTTCGTGATTTTATGATTTTAGAACATATGCCGTTTTTGGTCGAAAACTCAGAAATCATGACGTCACTAAAACCTCGACATCTCAAAACAATTCCGACGGATTTTTTTTTAAAACTTTGTCACAATAAACTTCAATCAATTCCCTATAGGTAGGTACCCAAATTTTGGCGCGCCTGCGGCACGCCGTTTTTATGTTATATCGCGGCGAAAAAAGTGGGGGCGTTTAACGTCCCCCCAGCAACTCGCGGGTGCCCAATTAGAAGAATTACATTAGAATTAGAAGATGGAATTAGAAGAAAAATCGGTCGGAATTTTTTTGAGATATTGACTATCCAGTGACGTCATGATTTCGGAGTTTTCAACCAAAAATAGCATAGGCCTACTTATGTTAACCCGCGCCGGGCCGGTACTCTGAGATTCCGCGCCGGGGCGGTGGGGGGTGGGGGGTGTCTGAACACCCCCCCCCCCTTCTAACTCGGCTCCTGGGCCACGTAGCAACACGCGGTAAGCGGCAATCGAAAGAACGTCCAAAATAAGGACGACAACACTCGGTCATTTTTTGGGTCAGGTCAAAGGTCAGGTCACCAGGGGTCACCAAAGGTAAAATGTTGACTATTTCAACATTTTGGAAACTGCCAGCGACTATCCGGGAACCAATAGAGCTACAGCGCCAGAGAAAAGAGCATTCAATAGCCCTTTTACAGAACTTTCTGAGTAATGTTCTCAGATTTGACCTCAGGTCAACGATTTAGCCTCCAGAGGGCAAAAACTCCAAAAATAGCCGTTTTTACGAAAAACGTTTTTTTCGGCAATAACTTTTGACTCAAAAGAGCCATGACATTACTTTTGCCACCATCGTGTTCCTCTCGTCAAGACGCGTCGAATGAACTATATTTTGACCTTTAAGGTCAACTTGAAAATTTGACCTCAGGTCAAGGTCATGACCTGACCGGAAAAGGTCATGTTACATATCAGTCGATCCGAAACGTCGAGCCGAACACATCTAAGGCGTTTTCAGCGCTCTAGCACGTCTCTATCAGAAGTTATTAGCGAAAAACTGTTAGATTCTGTTCGTGACCTGAGATGACCTCGGGGACATAACGAGAGGTCACAGTTGCCATTTTCCGGTTCAGTGTGTCAATTTTACCTACATCTCGATGTTTGAGAGTGTCTAGAATAGCGTTCGTGTAAAACAGACGCTTTTTAATTTTCTCCCATTGACTTATAATGGAGAGGCCGCAAAATTGACCTGACCTTAGGTCACCGATATCGAAATTTCGTGATATATATTCTATAGATAGTGTTGCTCTAATCAATCGCTGAAAGTTTCAAGGCAATCGATCAATCGATGTAGCTATGACGAGCATTCTTATTTTTTTCTGAGGTGAGGTCACTTGGCGTGACCTGGTGACCTGACCTAAGGTGACCTGGGTCTGAAATTTTCACAACATGTGCGGAAAAGATGCACAAACAGGTGTGCTAAAAACGGCGGCGCGGAGCGCCGCCGTTTTTGAGATATCTGCGAAAAAACACAGGGAGTGTTCAAACACCTCCCGGCCCGGCGGAGGTTTAAAAAAAAAATATCACAGAAGAGACGTAGGTACAAACATGCGATCAACGCCGTTCGAGTACCAAAACCATTAAGGTAAAATAAACTGGCATCTTCGATTTTTTTATTATCTTTCTACATTTTCCGAAAACCTGAACTAAAACTTGGCGACTTCTCGTGAATACCTCACGACAATGATGCATGTATAATGTATTTCGTAAATCGATCTTTTCGACTAAACACGTTACACGTATCAGAGTATTGACATTCAGAGTATTGACTCTGAATGTCAATACTCTGAATATCTCCTCTGAATATATCTGAATGTCACTATCGTATTCTACACCTATGTAAAAGTACCCATAAAACATGAGTCATATGCTGTGAATGCCAACTTCGATTTTCGGGGATATGTTCTTACCATGGTTGACCCGACGGCCGACCTTGACCCTGACATATGGTTGACTGACCCCTACATGGATCTGACATTCGTGTATGAAAGATTGCGCACACTCTTGCTAGAATTTATGACGAGACTAGCTACGATGTAGCTCCAACTTTCAAGTACTCATCAGAAGCGTCTCGTCGCGTTTTTCCGTTTGCCGCCTCGCACGTTCCGCTGCGCCTATTGGTTCTATGTATGTAGAGTTATGTACTGGAGGCGTTTACCCCCCCCCCCCCATAGCAAGTGGTTGGTGGTGAATTACATACCCCAGCAACTGCCGGGTTTTAACGAGAACCAACTTCTAACCAGATTGGCATTTCATCGACCGTCGGTGCTAAACAGGAACTGATATGGTCGACACAGTCGTCAACGTTTGTTATTTTAAATAATCGAAAATCACGAAGCTGCGGATTTCACGAACATTTACCTTTATGTTCGTTATATCAGTTATATCAGATGTACATTTACCCTAACCTACCAACCACTTAAGCCGACCAAATTAAGTCCAGACTGAGTATTTGCACTGCCAAGCAAAAAAGGCCACATACACAATATACAAATTTATTACAAAAATCACAAGGATGAACTTGTACACGGTGCCTAGTGTATAAACATCACTGCAGGTTTATTGCTAACACATCCATGGAAACGTTCAGTTGTAACCCGGCTGGTAAGCCGCCTGGGGCTCGACGTAGGCGGCTTGGGGCTCGACGTAAGCGGCCTGGGGCTCGACGTAGGCAGGCTGGTAGGCGGGCTGGGGCTCGATGTAGGCGGGCTGGTAGGCGGACTGGGGCTCGACGTAGGCGGGACCAACAGCAGGGGTCGGGTACTGGGTGGGCACCGGCGTCGGCAGGATGTCGCTGGACGGCTGGTAGCCGTTCTTGTCGGCGACAAAGGTCACCTTGATGGGATTGCCGTATCCGTCGGTGTAGCTCCAGGAGCCCTCCTGGCGGTAGCTGCCCTCCGGCTGTCCGTAGGCGTTCTTGCCGTAGCCGGGCAGAGGCACGCCGCTCTCAGACCTGGACATTGGTTTCATGGTGTCAATGATAAACGTTTCTCCAACCAACGTTTTATGTTCACCGAAATTTGGTTAAGCTTCCTGATTGGTACCCACATTGTGCGTATTTTCGGTCTTAATTTTCTCCTAGAGTAAATCTCACTTTATGCATTGTTAACTTCATTTACTAGATACCATCTCTCACCTGTAGATGCCGTTCTCGGTGCTGAAGTGGAAGTTGTAGGAGCCATCTCCGGGGTGGATGTTCTTCTCCTCAAGGATAGCGATGGGCTTGTAGCTGGGCTGGGCGGTGTAGGTCGGGGCAGCGTAGGTCGGGGCAGAGTAGGTGGGGGGTTCAGGAGGGGCGTAGGTGGGGGCAGAGTAGGTGGGGGCAGAGTAGGCAGGACGTGGCCTGTAGGAAGACTGGGGCCGGTCGGCAGCAGCCACCAGGGCCAGAGCAGCGACGATGAACTGAAAGGCAGATATGGTAGTAAGAACAAAAAATATTGGTTAAACATACCGTTCATAACGATATGTGCGTTTCATTAATATTCTGGTAATTGCATGAATTATTCCGCCAGAACTACTTACGGCCTTCATGTTGATGTGACTGGGTGCAGTGTCGAACTGATACCTGGGTCGGTTTGCTCGTCCATTATACAGTCGGGTCTTTGACAATGTCGCCCCCGGTCTGGTAAGTGCTCGGCTGACCACACCCGTCACCAGGGAGCTCCCCTGCCGCTAGGACCGCCCAGACATCTGCCGCAATACCGACCCGCCCCGCCCTCCCGGCCCCTCCTCTTCCTGCGGCCACTGCTAACCGGTCCAGCCGGCCAGCCGCGACGGGGAATCGCAGCTGATCTGCAGACCGTGATCTTTTGGCATAGACAGGTTCGACGAAAACATTTTTAGTGACATTGGAAACTTGGAAGATAAACTACCGTGGTTACCGGTGTATATTTGTCAAATTAATGTGTCAGTTTTTAAATCGCACATAACTGGGGTATTTTCCATAACGCAAGTGGCTGGGGGTGGGGGGGGCTCTACAGAGCGCCCTGGTCTCTGTAGAGCCAGCCGTAGCTATTTTTGAAAATATCGCGCTGATAGGTCCTATAGAGTAGATCATCGGTATGTGTTCTTTTACATATATCCAGTTTTTGTTTCGAAAAGCCAAAAACTTTAATGAAAGAATCTTTTCTTTTCTAAATTTGTAGTTATAGGTAATTATCGAAATTTACTAAATTTTAAAAATCCTAGATAATGATTTGATAGCTCTGCGTAATATTAAGTCCTTTCATGCAAAGAAATTGGATCTATCTATCTTAAAAACTAGGCTCTTATGGGCGATTGCCGTAGTTCAGTATTTTGCATCAAAATCGGCCTAACATGACGTCACTCTGACGTCACCATCGGCCGACCTGTAGTGGCTACGAAATTTACATTTGGACACAAGATGTCAAATTGATGCCGCCGAAGGTTCTGCACTTTTTGTATTGCTATGTCCATTGTCCAGCGGTTTAGAAGATATTGCAGAAAAACGGGATGGGGCTCTGTCATGAGCGGGTTTTCTTTTTAGACCGAAGGAAGTCTGAGATGGCTTAAAGGTACCTATTAAAAGTTTTTTTGTCCGAATTTTCGGAGTTATTCAGTGAAACGTGTCAAGTCATCCCCCAGCCAGCAATTCGTCCAGGATGCGGTTGGGGACGGTCGGGATAGGCTCCGGATGTCCCGACTTGTCCCTACCGGGTTGGGTAGGCTTGGGTTGTCCCAATCGATACCGGACCTCGATGGCCGGCGGTAGGGGCGACTCGGGATTTCCGGACCGCATGCTTAATCGGTTGGGACGCGGTATGGATAGCCCAATCGAATCCCATGTTTAGACAGGCTTGTGATTTACGTTGTAATCCCAACCGATCTGAGAAGGCGCTTCGGGCACCATATCCGGTGGCCCAGAAAGCCTGGAAAAGCAATCAGATGGGCCGCGTGCAGGCAGACGCGTCCTCTGAGCGCAGCGGCCAGTCTAGCTGCCGCGTTGGTCAAGTGTCGATCCCTCCTTTGAGCTGCTGCCTCAGGATATTGCTCTTGAACTGGCTCTAGCAAGCGGTCGGTTCAACTGTTGTCGTTGCAGGGAAATCAGTCCGTCTTTGAGAACAGGGTGAGTATAGTGCACACTTCATCCGTGATGTAGGGAGCGGGAAAGTTATAGGTAATAGAAATTGTTATGTTCGTTGTGGTTGCACGGCATGTGAATTACACTCGTGCTGTCGCATTTTTGATCAGTTATCATGGACAGAAGATGTTTGGTCTCATTGCCAAGTGTCGTTAATGGTTGCATTGTAGGTTTGAAACCTGAATTACCAGGCATACCATGTGAAATGTCAGATGTGGGTTATTTCTTAGTGATTTTTAGTGTGTCCCAGACTTTGATTAATAAACTCTTGGTCATTTTCAGATGCTCTCTTCGCACAGTGGTGAACCGCCCGACCAGATGCCAGCCGTCTAGTTTCGCGGTGGCTCTCTGAAGCTCGTGACGGCAGACGGACACACTGTCCGCAGAGGAGCCGACACGAACAAGGCGCAGGCCTGCTATGACTGTGAACACCGGAAGTGAGTCCGCTGTGCCAGCGCATTGCAGCGGCGCTAAGATGATGGCCGACGCCACGAATGTGCTGGCCAGGCTGTGAATTTGTGAAAATTTGACCTGTGTGCAACCAGTAAATTTGTGAATATATTTCAGTGTCCAATGTAATTCATTTTGTCGTGCAGGCATTATAAAGGTTGAGTTGGAGAATAATGAAAAGGCGAGGGGGTTGCGGTGGCGCAAGCAAAGTGGTCGCATCTGCATAACAGCAATCTGCGGTTATAAGACTGCGGTTAATATGTCAGATGCCTGCGGTATTCCCAAACCGGCCGTGCGGGCCGAGTTGGGACATCCCGATCGGGATCGGAGTTCATCGCTTGTTAAAATGCCATAAGGCGGTCCGGATGCGTGCGGGATTTCCGAACCGGTTGTACGGGGAGGTTTGGGGAACCCCGATCGGGATCGGAGTTCAGCGCTTGTTAAAACGTCATAAGGCGGTGCGGATACGTGCGGGATCTCCCAACCGGCCGTGCGGGGTAGGTTGGGATATCCGGACCGTTCCAGCCCGTACAAAGTGTCTCATTTCCCAATCCCGTCCCACTCCGGTCCCGATCGGGATGGTTCGGGCTGAGTCCGAAAATCCCGATCGGGAACGGAGTGGGATTGCTGGCTGGGCCATCCCAACAATACCTAATTTTGAAATGGCGGTCCTGCAAAGTTGATTTGTCTTAAATCAGAAACTTCGCTAAAGATGCAGGTAACAGAGGATAGGGTAAGGTGCCTAATTAGCGACCCTTTCCGATTTGCGACCTACCTCCCTACAGAAAAACTGGCAGGAGAAAACGGGGTAAAAATATCGTCAAAAGGTCAGCCATACTTTGGTTATCAAATTAAATTATTTTCTGGTCGTCGATGTTTCTGGTGGGACGTTCCAGGTGAGTTTAAATAAAAATGACGAGTTTCTTATCCAAAAACGTGTGTGTTTGGGCCCTCTCTGATGAAAAGCGATGCACATTAGGATGATGCACCTTTTTTATTCTGAATCGACATTCCTTTTTCAATTGATTGCCGTTTTCCAATAGTGAATCGCTCAACTGTGCACAGCGTGGCGGTTAAAAATGTGTCGCAACTCATATTTCCTATTTGCGCCTGACATGGTCGCAAATAGCTCAAGAAGGGAAAGAAAGGGGAAAAGAGAGAAATGAAAATGAGGTGTTGCTGAAGCTTGCAATGTGTGGCAGGGGATGCCAAATGTCGTCACCGACTGTAGGGGTGCCGAATTCAGCGCGGACCTCGAATATCATACGAGATAGCCCGCAAAATTTGGGTTTCCGCCTTCTTTTCGCCTTCGGTGCATCACGTGATCAATTTTTACTTACGTAAAGGTGTTGGATAAACGTTCCTGTTCGAGTGATTGAGTGCTTTGCGTATAGGTTACCTTTTTGAGATCATATTTCATCTTTTCAGGCGTCGCATTTTTTGCCATTTTTAATATGGGGAAACCCATAGACTTATTAGCGACCCTCCCCGGTCGCTAATCGGGAAGAGTTCCCTATAAGCGTTTTTTTTTTTCAATGGTTTGCCCAAATGCCCACTACAAATACGTTAGTGAATATTGGGGCTGAAAATGACTATATTTTAATAGAAAAATGAGCGATCTCTGCGAAGATCAAGCCAGTAATACAGTGGCACCCTCAGAGCGTGAGCAATGACGGTTCAAATTAAGGGGGTCGCTAATTAGGCATCTTACCCTAATGCGTGAAGAAACTGGCACTAAATATGACGAGACAAGATTAATCGATGTGTAAGTCAGGTACTTAAGAATCTTGAGTCGGTATACATCGTCTCTCGACGCTGGTAAAGCTATTTCGGGCATACAAAAGACTAAAGCAACTAGAATTATGTGAAAACAGGAATATTGCCAGATAAGCGCTTTAAATCGACCGATTAAACGTGTTCGATTTAAACGGAGCAATTTGCATGTCAAGCGCCAAGCATCGCAATTGTCAAACAGCCTGTCAAGTTTATGGTAGGGGCGAAATGGGGTTCGCATGGTATCCCCAAAGCAGGCGGTAAACTCGGCGAACTACGCGCCAAAAATCATGTGATGGTCATTCATGGCAAAAGTGGAGCGCTGAGCACAACAGAAGCCGTCACGGAACGAGTTACGACAACCCTTATGCACAACTCTTGTAGGTACTCTTGTACTATTTGATGTCAGGGCAATTTTCACGTAAGGTGGAGCACCAGGGTACAACACAAAACGAAGTAATAAAAAGTGCGCTTGAAATACGTTTCAGGAATCTGACACAGAGACGAAAGGCCCGGTAGCTTGTCCGACCGAAACCAAATGAAAATATCTTGTCGGTGGTAGAGGAAACCCTTAACCAGCAGGAGCTAACTACCAGCCTGGGCCGGCTAAAGCGACGTCTGAAAAGGGCATGGAGATTGGAGGGGAGGGTCGTATAACAGATGAACAGAGCAAGCTGTGCGGTTTCTTAGAAATCGTGTTATTTACGGATCCTGAGATACGCCATGGGCTTCGCAGTGATAATGTCGGATCATAGGCGGCGGAACGGGGAGGGCACCGGGGCACCCTGCCCCCTTTGATTTTGGCATTTTAACATTAGCCCTATGGGCGTTGCATGGAAAGAATGGGACCAAAAGTCGGCAGTGCCCCCCCCCCCTTAATTGGAGGTGTTCCGCCGCTACTGTGTCGGATGTTAAAGAATTTCAACAAAAAGAGTTGATGACCGAGGGTTTGTGATGCTGAAAACTTTTGGGATATCCTGTTCTTATGAACAGTCGACGTCAATCAGCCATAAACGGTTGGAGCCTTTTAGGTAGGTACGGCGCCCCTGTCACACCACATCGACTTGCCAAGCACAAATAGCGCTAAGTTAAACGCTAATAAAATGCGAAACTGGTGCTTAGGCTGCTTTGTGAGACAACAAAATGTATGTATATGTACATACATTTTGCTGTCTAGATAAAATGTCAGCGAAACATTATCTATCGTTTTCAAGTTTACAAACTACTGTGCAGTGGGTAAGCACTGATCAGTGAGCACACTGAGCAGGCATTCTCCTCGCACATCACAGCGGGAATTTCTCTTACCAAAGTGTAGGTACAGTGGAATCCGCTTACACCTTGGTGACAAGGTGTTTTGGATTTATTAAGCGATGGCTTTATTAACCGGAGTCAGATATTTTCATTAAAAACATGTAGTGCAGCTGCACATTCCGTTCCCCTGCGATACAAGCGAAGAGGCTAGCATTCCTGATTGCCTTACTTATTCCAATGAACGTGACCAAGGGCTCCAACATCGGTGGTGTCGCGGGGGTCCGGACCCCTAATAATTCGGCTTTTGAAATGCAGCCTAATTTATAAAGGCGTGTGCTTCAGGGTTGGACATCCCCCAAACCTGCGAACGTAGAAATGTCACCGAAAGGGACCAGCGCACACTGCATGCTGTCACTATCCATCCACGATCACTCCTGGTCATGCCTGCCATGCCAACGCGGAACAGCCAAGCGTGCCTGCTTTGCCGGGGACATTTATTTGAGGTGTATGTTGATTGCGCTCTTTATAGCCATGATCTTCTGTTTTTAGAACTCCAACTGCTGCAGACCGCTGCTCCAGACTGATTCTTTGGGCGCGGGTTGGATGCAACAGTTCGAGTGAGGAGACGTCACTGCGGACTTAAAAACTCTCAAGTGGCTTTATTAAGCGGAGTGCGTGTACTTATCAAGCGGATTTATTTACAATGGGTATCGATGGCGAAAATCCGTGAACAGCTCAAGCTGCCACAATAAGCGGCTGGATTTTATTACCCGAGAATCTATTAAGCGGATTCTACTGTTAACTGTACATATGTAAGCGCAAACTACCATCGATTCGGGAATCGGGAACAATAGTATCTTTTCCTTTCAGTTTCTTCAACTATTCCATTCAATCGACAAATTGTTACACAAGATCCTATTCTTCTTCGAGGCGTGTCATCAGCCTGAAATCAAGGTTAGACATCGTGATCCATTGATGTGCAGTGACCGGCTGGACCGGTCAGCAGTGGCCGTAGGAAGGGGAGGGGCCGGGAGGGCGGGGCGGCTCGGTATTGCGGCAGACGTCTGGGCTGTCCTACCGGCCGGGGAGCTCCCTGGTGACGGGTGTGGTCAGCAGAGCACTGACCAGCCCGGGGGCGCCATTGTCAAAGACCCGACTATATAATGGACGAGCAAACCGACCCAGGTATCAGTTCGACACTGCATCCAGTCACACCAACATGAAGGCCGTAAGTAGCTATGGTAGATTTAATTAATTCGTGCAATTACTGAGAATGCTAGAATTCAAGTGAAAGACTTACCTTTACGAACTTAGTACCTACAACACCGTCTTTATTGTGACTACCGTCTCTGTTTTTTCAGTTCATCGTCGCTGCTCTGGCCCTGGTGGCTGCTGCCGACCGGCCCCAGTCTTCCTACAGGCCCCGACCTGCCTACTCTGCCCCGACCTACTCTGCCCCCACCTACTCTGCCCCGACATACACCGACCAGCCCAGCTACAAGCCGATCGCTATCCTTGAGGAGAAGAACGTCCACCCTGGAGATGGCTCCTACAACTTCCACTTCAGCACCGAGAACGGCATCTACAGGTAAGAAATGACTAATTAACTATCACGGATTCCACTTCAACAAATATTATACAGCAGCAAGATAATAAAAAATGGCGTAGTATTTGGTTTATGCAAAAGCTGTTTCCCGTCTCTTCGCAATGTCGGTTTCCATCTTACATTACATTATTATAAATTATGCACTGGGCGATCAACAACCATCATCAATTTTAGGCCTATCACTTAAATCTTAAATTTCGTGAAATAATATCACATTCATAAATTTACGTCATAACCTTGACCAGTTTAAACTCAGGTAGGTACCTATAATTTATCATTGTTTGAACTTATCTTCAGGTCTGAGAGCGGCGTGCCTCTGCCCGGCTACGGCAAGAACGCCTACGGACAGCCGGAGGGCAGCTACCGCCAGGAGGGCACCTGGAGCTACTCCGACGGATACGGCAACCCCATTAAGGTGACATTTGTCGCCGACAAGAACGGCTACCAGCCGTCCAGCGACATCCTGCCGACGCCGGTGCCCACCCAGTACCCGACCCCCGCTGTTAGTGCCGCCTACGTCGAGCCCCAGCCGGCCTACGTCGAGCCCCAGCCCTCCTACCAGCCTGCCTACGTCGAGCCACAGCCTGCCTACGTCGAGCCCCAACCCGCCTACGTCGAGTCCCAGCCCGCATACCAGCCCGCCTACGTGGAACCCCAGCCCGCCTACAACTAAGTTCCTAAACGTGAATGGCCAGAGATGTTTAAAGTTTATTGCGTGTGGCTGTTGATTATGAATATGTCTTGCAATATATCACTGAATTGAGACCTATCTTGTATTGCTTGACATGCACAGCTGAGCCTCCTTCGCTTTATTGTGTTGCGTCATCAGTCGAGTCACCACTGAGAAGCAGGTAGTTCGGTTTTCAGCTGACGGGGAATGGCGACTGTATTTGAACACGTCCAAATGAGTAGTTGAACACGTCCCTGCCGTAACGTAACTGGTAATGATGAATCCCGCGACGATGCGCTGTCGTCTTGTGTTACGTTGCACCGAAATTCGTCGTATTATGTCGCCTTTTATGCACGTGTTAAGAAAAAGAAAGTAACTTATCGCTTAACCCTGCCTCGCTGGGCTATTCAGCCATGCACGCCCCACCGCGCTAGGGGGGAGGGCAGATTCTGCCCCCTATCTTACTTCCGAACCGATGGTTGTAGAAAGACGTGAAAACCGAATCTCGAAAGCACTCAAAACCCACCTTTGGGCGTATTTTTTGCCTAAGTAGGTCACCTGTCAGGCTAAGGTCAGGTCAGCGATAAACCACAAATTCCTACACTTCTCACTTCGGAGCCCAGTTGGCGAAAAATAGACTAAGATTGATCACCCAAAACGCATTCTCAGGCTACCAAGAAAGGGTGCATGACATAAAAATGTCATGCAAAGGTCAATGTCAGGCCAGGTCACGAAAAACATACTATACTCGAAGAATAGGATATGGCGACACATATTTATTGAATCATTTTGTTCATAGAAGTCAATAGCCATGCTCAATTATTGATTAACACCATATTTGGATGAAGTTCGGGTCGAGGCCAGGTCAAGAAAGGTCAAATTTTAGTTTATTGTTGAGACCCAAAAGCTGTTCATCTGACGCACGCGGTTTTTCACGAAGAATCAAATGGGGCTATATTGATTGCAAGTTGTGTCCAGGGAAGGAAGCTTTCATCAAAATTGTCGACCAATAGCATGTTACCAGCAGTTGCATCTTGGAGGTTGTCCCTATTTACCATCAAAATCTTGATTGAGAAGCAGTCAGTTGCAGGGGCGCGGGAACTACTTTCAGACTAGGGGCGGGGGGGGGGGGCAAACCATAATAGAGATCAACCTAGGGTATCCCCAAATCTAGTTTTCTCAACGGTTTTAGGGCACTTCTCCCCCCGCCCCGCCCCCACGGTTCCCGTATCTATGATCAGTTGTCCCCGTATAGACAACATTGTCGAAATTGCTAATTGGTTCCTCTTGGTCCCAGTATTAGAACTTACGCATTGAAGTAAAGAAGTAAAGAACGCATTGTTAAGTAATGTCAGGGCGGCCAAAGTCCAAGCTGGTAACGCTGACAGGGGCATTTTTTATCAGTCTGATAAAGAGAGCCTCGGTGGGAGCGGCCGACTGGCGGCCAGGTGCTCAGCTCCCAGGCAGGCGGTTTCCTGTGTGCTGAGCCTTATATGCATCCGTCGCGGTGGCCGCCACTGTCGCCTCGATCCCCGTCGCAGCCACATTGTCAGCCATGCTCTCAGCCGCGGTGCCGCTGCTGGTGCTGGTATTCGGGTCCGCGGTCAGCGCCGAGCCGGGCGAGCCGCTGTTCCTGACCCCGCTGATCGAGGCCGGGGAGCTGCAGCAGGCCCGCGAACAGAGCAGGGTGCTCGGCCTTCCCGGAGCCGGCGCCGACGTCACCAGTCACTCGGGCTTCATCACCGTCGACAAGGAGCGCAACTCGAACCTCTTCTTCTGGTTCTTCGAGTGTCAGCAGGCGTCTCCGCGCGAGGCTCCCATCCTCCTCTGGCTACAGGGTGGCCCGGGCGCTTCTAGCCTCTACGGACTGTTCATTGAGAACGGCCCGTTCGATGCCGACGCTGACCTGAATCTGGTGCCTCGGAACCTCAGCTGGACCAACACGCACAACGTGCTGTACATCGACAACCCGACCGGCACCGGCTTCAGCTTCACTAACGACGAAGCAGGCTACGCCAGGAACCAGGAAGATGTGGCCCGCGACCTTTACTCGGCGCTGACGCAGTTCTTCACCGCTTTTGAGATGTTCCAGGGTAACGACTTTTACGTGACCGGAGAATCGTACGGCGGGAAATACGTGCCGGCCATCACGCACAAGATACACATGGAGAATCCCACAGCTGAGCTGAAGATAAACCTTAAAGGTATGGCGGTCGGAGATGGGTTTGTTGATCCCAGTAACCAGGTTGACTACGGCGAGTTTCTGTACAACGTTGGGCTGATCGACGCCGAACAAAGAGAACAGTTCCACGCGTCGGCCATGGACGCCGTCGACCTAATCAACCAAGGTGATCTGGAGTCAGCCTTCCGTCTGTGGGACTCGGCCCTCCTCGGCACCAAGTACCCGTACCCGACCTATTTCGAGAACTGCACGGGCTTCACCAACCACTTTAACTACCTGCAGCCGGTCGACCCGCACGACGTAGACGCCAGTCCGTACAACGACTTCCTGCGCCTGCCGTCCACGCGCGCCTCCATCCACGTGGGCGAGCTGCCGTACAACGAGGCCGGCGACATCGTCTCCGACTACCTGGTCGGTGACATGATGAACACTACCAAGCCGCTGGTGGCCACCATCCTGGACGCCGGCTATCGAGTGCTCATCTACAGCGGCCAGCTGGACGTGGTCGTCGCTTACCCGCTGACCGAGCAGTGGCTGGCCTCGATGGAGTGGCACGGCGCTGAGCGGTACCGGGACGCCGAGCGTGTCATCTGGCGCGAGCAGGGCGAGATCGCCGGCTACGTGCGCCAGGTGGACAACCTGATCGAGGCGTTCGTTCGCAACAGTGGCCATATGGTGCCCACCGACCAGCCGGAGGTCGGCTACGCGCTCATCACCAAGTTTACTGGCACCAACTGAGAGCTCTATGTCAGGCCATTAATCCAAAGGTTATGTTTATTCAAGGGATATACAGCCGCTCATATGTCAACAATCAACAATTAGGCCACCAACAGTAGGTCAACAGTTAGGATTATGTCAACAAGCCGCTCACATGTTTTACGAACCACGCAAAAATAACCAAATATGTAAAACATTGGTTACGTTGTCTAATGTTTTTTTCCCGCGTGACAGTGAAACTCGTGCTCGACTTTAAGGCATAAAAGTAGGTTGCCGCAGCGATTTTCTGTCGGTTAAACTGCATGGTCTCTGCTCAATACAACATTTGAGTTTTAACCCTCGCCGGCACAGGCCATTTTGCGTCCTTCGACGGAACAAGAGGGGGAGGGTTGGTAAGACCCCCTTCGCGTTTGGCCCCTGATCGAGCTAGAGCTTCGCGGAAAGAACGAGCGTGTTGCCCGTGACGAGAGGAAGCCGATGATATCCCATTTCAATGTCCTAGATCATCGGTTGACCTTCCAGGTCAGGTCAATGACCCAAAAGTCGGGAAAATCGGGACCTGTTAGAAAGTCGTAAAGTGTGGCTACTAGTTTTTTTCGGGGGGGGGGGGGGGTGCTGATCACGAATATCATGCTAGCTTTGATCACAGATATTGTATTTATGCATTTACGTCAGGTCGGGTCAGGTCAGGTCAGGTCAACCAGTAGGGGTTGTGACGGGTATCCGTAGCACGTGTCAACCGCCTCTGACAGCTTCGTAGCATATTACGAAGGCATCAAGTCTATAATTAGAATTCAGCTCCAAAAACTAGCCTAGAAACATGTAAAACTGGAAAAAGTGAACCGAGGTCATCAAAGGTCAATGACCTGCCTTAACCTTCAGGTGACCTTGACATCCACCCTAATGCATGGGAGGAACATCATATTTCATTTCATTTCATTTCATTTATTCACCATATCACATGTTTGAACGCTTGGACCCACAAAAAGACTGCAAACGCGTGGCTTATGCGAGCCGACATACGCCGAATCGCAGTTCCAGCCATATGGTCTAAAAAAGTGGGTCACAAAGCAAAGGTCATTTGGGTCAGGATCATGCAATTTTCACGGTAGGTGTAAAATTGATAATCGCGAGGGTACTGATCGTTTCGTCGCAATTAGCCGCTTTTTGCTTGAGTTATTTGCGAAAAAAAACTTAGAAGGGTGTTGCATTAGCCCCCACCCCCTTTGCCTGCGAGGGTTAAGGCCTCAGAGTCACGGTACCCCAAAATGCCTCGCTCAGTCCACTGTTATCTTCCATGAGGGTTTTCTTTAAACTTTAAACCACTTTGGAGCGCAGGAAATATTTCACAATGTTATGTATTTTTGGCCTCAAGATTAGGATAACAACGCCCAGTAGTTTGGATGCAGTAAATATCCTCACGCTCGTCAAAGCCCGAGTTCGTCAAGGTGCATACTCGTACAGCCCCAATCTGACAGCTGGGTCGCTCTGACAGCTGACAGCCGTAGGTCTGACACGTCCGACAGCTCGGGGCATCCAGACCGCTACCGAACTACCGGTCGCTGCGACCGTTATCTCAAGTGAAGTGTCGCTGATACCCGTATCGAAACAGATGCTTCGTTCCTCATTTGTCTTTTATTTGTTACTTCTCGGTCTAACTCAGCACACGAGGAACGGCGGTGAGTGGCGACAATGGTGAAGTGAATAATTACATAGTGATTGACGAACAAATAGAAAGATGACAGATACCGACATCAAGCACTATTTATTTATCAAATAAAACTATGGAACAAATAAGGCTGCATATTTACGCTATGTATGTGCAGTGTATACATATTTGTGGGTATTAAATATGCAGCACCCTGGAAAATACGCTGCTTTGTATTCTCATTACCTAAACAACTTAAAAATCATTTAGTTGTAGGCGGGCTGGTAGGCGGGCTTGCCATAGGAGGACTGGGGCTCGACGTAGGCGGGCTGGGGCTCGACGTAGGCAGGCTGGGGCTCGACGTAGGTGGGACCAACAGCAGGGGTCGGATACTGGGTGGGCACCGGCGTCGGCAGGATGTCGCTGGACGGCTGGTAGCCGTTGTCGTCGGCGACAAATGTCACCTTGATGGGGTTGCCGTATCCGTCGGTGTAGCTCCAGGAGCCCTCCTGGCGGTAGCTGCCCTCCGGCTGTCCGTAGGCGTTCTTGCCGTAGCCGGGCAGAGGAACACCGCTCTCAGACCTGAGAATGGTTTCATTGTGTCAATTACATAGCTTTTTCATCTTAGTGGCTGACAATTTATTCGCTCATTGATTGATAAGAGCATATTTTCGAATTTATTCTGACCCAAATTTCGAGATCTATCATTTCTCACCGGTAGATGCCGTTCTCGGTGCTGAAGTGGAAGTTGTAGGAGCCATCTCCGGGGTGGATGTTCTCCTCCTCAAGGATAGCGATGGGCTTGTAGCTGGGCTGGGCGGTGTATGTCGGGGTAGCGTAGGTCGGGGCAGAGTAGGCAGGTCGTGGCCTGTAGGAAGGCTGGGGCCGATCGGCAGCAGCCACCAGGGCCAGAGCAGCGACGATGAACTGAAAACAGAGACGGTAGTCACAATAAAGACTGTGTTGTAGGTACTAAGTTCGTAAAGGTAAGTGTTTCACTTGAATTCTAGCATTCTCAGTAATTGCATGAATTAATTAAATCCACCATAGCTACTTACGGCCTTCATGTTGGTGTGACGGGATGCAGTGTCGAACTGATACCTGGATCAGTTTGCTCGTCCATTATATAGTCGGGTCTTTGACAATGGCGCCCCCGGTCTGGTCAGTGCTCTGCTGACCACACCCGTCACCAGGGAGCTCCCCGGCCGGTAGGACCGCCCAGGCGTCTGCCGCAATACCGAGCCGCCCCGTCCTCCCGGCCACTCCCCGCCCTCCCGACCCCTCCCCGTCCTCCGGCCACTGACCGGTCCGGCCGGTCACTGCACAACGGTGGATCACAATGGACCTAACCTTGATACTAAGTCCGATCAGCGCTTGCCAAATACTATTTCTGAAAAAAGCACCGGTCACTAACTGATGTATGTCATACGTTATATGCTCCTAAAAAGCCCGTACAAAGAAATAAGTCATCCTCACTATTAATCTTAGCTCGGCTAAGGGGGGGGGCGTTTTTGGCCAACCAGCCAGTTTCTTTGCGTGTGTAGAGAACCGCGGCGCTAAGCGCCGATTAACTTTGTATAGCATATGTATGATACATTTCGCATTTCGTGTGAAATTCTTACCCCAGGTCACACAAGGTCAGGTGACCACATCAGGTCATCCTTCTAAAAAACAACTTTGTGATTCATCAATCATCATTCCTACAATTTACATCCTAGAAGTTTGAAACTCGGTACTATTGCAAGGAGGAATCAGTGCCTACCAACAAGTTGGGTACCTATTTCAAAATTTTAATATCGGTGACCCAAGGTCAAGTCAATTTTACGACATTCCCATTTACCTATAGGTATAAGCCAATGGGAGAAAATTGAAATGCCCTTCTTATCAACGGGAACACTCAAACATCGGGCTTTAGGTAAAGATGACACAATGTCCACAATGAATTGTAAAATTGCACCCAAATTCCAAACCACTTGTATGCCCCTGGGGTCACGTCAGGTCATGAACTTCTCTAACAGCTTTTTTACAATAACAAGATAGAAACATGTTAGAGCGCTGAAAATACCACGGATGCGCTCAGCTCAACAATACGAACCAACTGATATACAACGTGAGCATTTCTGTGACCTTGACCTGAGGTCAAATTTCTAAGTTCACCTGAAAAGTTAAATTTACCTGAAAAATTCAACTTATAGTCCATTCGACGCGTCTGGACGAGAGAAACGCGCCGCCGGTAACATGAACGCAATAGAAGCTTCAAGCTTGCTGTCAAGAGTCATTTAGGTAGGGGAAGATGGAAGAACACCGACCCCCATAACCTTTTAGGGTCTTGTCACGTAATTGTGGGCCAAATGATCAATCTCTCAGTTTCACTGGATTGTCGCATCAATGATCAATTCTACATACATATCAACCAATTGTTTTCTTTTATTGTCGTTCATAATTGCATTATTCCACTTATAGTAAATGTCTACATTTTTCGGGGTAACACCGACCGTTGGGTAACACCGCCTTAGCTCAGCAGGCAACGAAATTTGCAGATTGCTGGACTATTAAGCTGTTCATCATATCGTAAATTTCGAGGCGTTTTAGTACCTATATAGGTATTCATAAAATACAGTGGAAACGATTTTATTATATCCCTGGTACAATGTAGTACTCATTTTTATATAACTAGATGACTTAAAGTCCCAAAATTTCATTTTCTCGAAATTTTTTAATAATCCTCTAAAAAGAAAACATAGCAACAACGTTCTTTCTTTATTTGAAATGCGCCACTCCTGGGTTAGATGCTATTAAATACCAAATTTTCCAAGTGGGCGGTGTTACCCAAGTGTCTGCATTTTTCTTTAAAAAATCCTTCAATATGGCAGCACGACAAAAATTTCGCCTCGAGCAGGAGCACGTAATGCTTGGATGAGTCCTAGACTCCTAATTATGGTAAAAAATACTACTTCAGAAATGATGTCTGTCAAATAAGATCAGTTTTCTTCTTGCTCATTATGCTAGAAAAAGTATAAAACGTATTCACGAAACGTAAAAATTAGGAATTTCTCGCAAATCACCTAAACCAATGCGGTGCACTGCCCATACCTGACAATAGACAATAGACAATAGACAGTTTATTCAGGACATTCCACTGGAACATGTGGCTACCTATTAGGGGAAGTTGGGGCAATGCCGGAGTTGGGGCAAAGCCGAAATTCGAGATATTTCGAAAACTGTACGACATGGGTGCCACTTGTCAGTGATGCTCTGAAGCTTAAGTGACTACCAATTATCGCATGATTGTTACGAGTCGTCATTCGGAATACTTCGGCTGTGAGGGCGCCAAGAGCGTTTTCAAGGTACGTTTCCCTTGTACTACATGCGCCTTTGAAGCAGTATTTCTTACTCATTATCCTACCGTTTGTCTGGCAAATTCGGTCAAGTAATCTTCAGCATGTCTTTGCATAAGTGTGCTGCCTATTTGAAATTCATACAGCACGTTGAAAAGTTATGGGCCTGCAAATGAAAGTAGGTATGGCTGGCTGGGGTAATGCCGAAAACGTGCAATTACACACGTTAAAGCACGCTACGTGGACTTTACTGCTGTAGAATAGCAACGCATATTTTTAGTCACACAAATTACACTTTCAACCGACACAACGGCCTGTTTCCTATAAGGAATGATTTACCTGGCCTTTTCTTATTATATTACACAACTATAACTTCCAGTGTGCACCAAGCGTCCTCAAACTAATAAAAAAGTGTCAGCTTTGATGAATTCTGGATAAAGTATGAGATAATATGGCAAAACATCAATTTCGGCATTCCCCGTAGATCATTTCTCCCATTTTCGGCTTTCCCGCAGTCCGGGGCAACGCCGAAAAAGTCACTTCTTTGATATTTTTAGTTTGTGCGCTTAACGGTATGCGAATTCATCAAATGCGCCTGATATGGTTGAAAGGCAAAAGACTGGCCTCTCGAATGACGCCAACAAGAATAGCTTATGTTGTCTACCTTGCGTGCTACGGGCGTCAGAAAAAAAGTATTCGGCGTTCCCCCAACTTCCCCTACTGCCCGTCGTCAGTAAAACAGGTGATGATAAAATACAATAAAAGATGAAAGGGGAACACATATACAGAGAGACACTCATGATGACTAGTTGCTAGTGTTCTGCTCCTCGAGCAGATGCCTGCGTAGGCGTTGTCCGAACGCCCCCGGGGGCAGTCGGGGCAAATCCGATGGCAGTGAGTTGAGGGCAGCCGGCGCTCGGCAGGTGAACCGGCGTTTGCCCATCTCTGTACGGGATCGCGGCACGTGCAGGAGTGTGTCCTGCCGCGTGCTGACAGCAGCGTCCCGGCCGCGCGCCTCCGCCACGGTGGCCAGACTACCCGCTAGCAACTCCGGCTCGGCGTGACACCGCACTTTGTGCAGCAGGCACAGGGAGTGGTAGGTGACGAGGTTCTCCGCGCTGAGCCAGCACAACTGGCACATCAAATCGGAAACATGATCGTACTTTTTGCGGCCGAAAATGACTTTTGCTGAGTAGTTTAAGATTTTTTGTATCCGAGAGAGATTGTGTCTGGTGCCAGCACCATACACTGCGATGCAGTATCGAACTTGTGATGATATGACCAGTGCGCTGACCAGCACGGAGATCACAGTGGGCGGTAGGTGCCCCCGGAGATGCGAGAGACCACCCAAAACTCCAAAGCAGCGTTTCGTGAGCGTTGTAATATGATCACCCCAGGTCAGGTGACGATCAAATATGATGCCCGAGATTTTTTGCTGAGGAAACTGGGGACAACTCGTGATCGCGGTATTTTACTTTAACCCTCGCCGGCCGAGGGGGGGGGGGCGGGTGCCGCCCCCCCATAGGGTTTTTTCGCGATAGCTCCGAACACGCTGGCGATAGAGAGCTGAAACTTGGCATACCTGACCTTTGATCCAAGCCGCATCTTTTGACACCAACCGCATTTTTGGGTCAGGTCAGGTCACTGACCTATGACGTCATAAGTGAACCTCTGCACGGTCTTCAGATGTCGCAACTTCGCAACGCTCTCACTGCCAGAGGAGATGTCACAGGGAAATGAAACTTGCAGGATCTAGTATCCATTATGAGTCCCGCAACTTGTATATCTCGGATTTTTCCTAAAGGTCATATGAGGTCAGGTCATTTTCGTGACCTCACCATTATAAGTCAATGGGGAAAAATGAAAACTGCTATTCTGGCGCCGGGAACGATCTCCAACTATCTCAAGCACACAGAATCGTGATTTTATGCACTCCTTGCAAGGTTAGATGCGTCACTTTTGCAATGTTGACCTTGCGTGACGTCATTTATGACGTCATCAAGGTCATATTAGTTTTTCGTCAATAACTCTTGATCAAATTGAGCTAGCGAGTCGGGAAAGCCACTAATGGACTCAGGAAGACCTGCCGAATCGAATGATATGCGACATGACCTCTTTCGACCATCTTCGTGACCTGGGGGTGCTGACCTGACCTTGACCTGAGGTCAACACCCCAAGTTGACCTGGCCCGGACAAAAAGTATATCATTCGACGCGCCTGAGCGAGACGAACACGATGCTGCAAAAATCGGCGCTCTGCGGCCGTTTTTTGCGAAGTTATTCACCAAAAACTGAACCGTACCTTGGGGCACTTGACCTGACCTCAGAGGTCACCGGTTGACCTAGGACCTTAAAATCGGGTACCAATCTCTGCGTCTCGTAACGGCGCACACGCTCGTTTTTTCCGCGACGCGCTAGTCCACCAGGGGCGAAACGGCGAGGGGGGGTCGTACCCGCCCCCCCCCCCTCGGCCGGCGCGTATGTAGAAAACCAATAGGTCCGGCGAGGGTAAGTTCAGGCAATGTGCGAAGATTTTGGGGGCTGCCCAACAGCATCAGCTGAGTCTTAGCGGCGTTGACTTTTAAGCCGTTGGCCCGGAACCAACGGTCAAGAGAGGCCAATGTGTCCTCCATACGAGTGACGAGTGATTGAAATTGAGATTTCTTGCCGCTTACTAGAATTTGTGTGTCGTCTGCATATTGTACTACTACTGCGCCTTCGGCAAACTGACTAAGGTCGTTGGCGAAGACGCAGTAGAGGAGGGGGCCTAAGGCTGAACCCTGAAAAACTCCGATGCTGTTGGGTAGCGGGCGGGACTTTTTGATTCCACCGTGATTGTCAGTGAAGCTGACGCTCTGAGTGTGGTTTTGAAGATATGCGGAAAACCATGAAGTGTCAAT